TTTCTAAGCATATTTATTAAAATATTTGAATTTCTATGCTTTTGTTGGTTAGACAGGAAGGATATGAAAAACGAATTTCAATTAGAAAATCGTGTCTAGCATATATGTGGAATTGAGCGTTTCGATGAGGACAAATCCTCGTGTTTCGATTGGAATCTTATAAAAAAGTGATAAAAATGCACACTTTTTATTTATTTTTGTTGCAAAAACTACTTTGATTGTATTTAGGACACTTGCGTGCATAGCAATAATAAAAACAAGTTTTAAATTATCTACACATTACTTAAAAATTCCAAAAATTCATATTACTTTAATGGAGACCATAACCAATAAAAGTGCAATTTCATTTGGACATTTATCCAGAGTGTGTTTACCGATTCCTGCACAATTTTTATTCTAGTTTATCGAATAAAAGGTTAATCAGCCTTGGACACCGAAACTCGGGAATAGTTCTGGGCGAGGTCCACAACTTCCCCTTGTAGCGTTTGCAATTGTTCGTTGAGGGACTTGGATTCCGGACTGTCCGTAGTGCCTTGTTGCAGCATTTGCAAAACAAGATCTGCGAAGGAGTAGGACCTTTAATATTTAAGAACGAAAAAGAAGTGGAATGCATAAGTCTTACCATGATACCGCAGTAGAAGCGCATTTTGTGCCTCACTTAGAGTCGGTCGTATGTGTTGCAGGATGGTCGAAACGAACTTGCCGGACGCATGCAAAATGCAGCCTGTGATTGTGGTGAAGAGTATCAGTACAGCAAGGTGAAGTAAGAGAGCGGGTTCACGGCACTCTGATAGCTGTTGCATGAGCTTCTCCTTGTGACTGACAATTAGAGCACGATCCTTTTTCTTGTCGGCCTTTTTAATGATCATGCTGCAGGTTTTTAGCACCGCCTCCGTAGCTAGCTCAAAGTCCTCTATGCTTTTGTTCAGCGCTTTGTTTTGTTCAAGTAGAGCATTGCGATACTGTGCATCTATTTCGTGGATTAGAAGTCATATTATATTATATATTTGTATAATGGTAATTTACTATGATTTTAGTTACCGCACTCTTGTATTAGTTTGATGCGTTGATCGACGTTTAGATTGGTCAGCTTGACCGACAAACTGCATTCGGCTGCCACATAGAGGGTCAGTTCGTTGCAAATGTCGTTGCCCAAGGACTTGAGCAAGTACTTGATTAGTTGCGTTTGGGTCTCTGTATTGAACAGCTTTATACCCTTCTCGTAGAGGCGTAAGTCCACCAGTAACGTGTTCACGCGTTCCTGAATGGCGGCATGTGTCTGGCGTCGATTCGTTTGGGGTGATGCCTCATATAGTTCCTGCGCCTTAGCTAAAGCGGCCTGATTTAATTGGCTATAAATGTGCAAACATACATTTATAAGAGACTAACTAAGAAAGTTAATGTGGTTAGCATACTTCACGAAGAGTCCTGCAATTGGCTTGGCAAGATGTTCTAGTCCCTCTTCCTCCAGCGTACTCTTGATCCGGTTTATGATATCTGAACTCTTAACCAATTCTAATGGCTTGACGGACTTTCGCGTACTGCCCGCAGATTGTTGAGTTGTCTCCTCATCATCGTCACTGTCATGATTGTGAGCAGCCCCGCGGCCCCGCTGATGCTTCTTGGTTGACTTGGTTTTCGTCTCCCTTCCCTGCGCACCGCCACCCGCTTTGCCAGAGGCGGCCTTCTTCCGGCGCTCATCACGCTTGTCCACCTTGCCATCATCATCCGCATCGAAGTTGGCGCTCGAATTGCTGCCCTTCTGCGCCAGCGTCTTTTCCACAATATATTGCTGATAGGCACCACTGTCGATGGCTGCTTTGGCCAGGGCGTGGGCCATATCGTGACAAGGTTGTATCAATTGAGTAAGATATGCCTGTGAGAAGACTGCAAATGGAAAGAGTGAGTATGTTGATAGAGTAGTAATTCAATAAACGAAAATATTACCAATACTCTGCAGGTAAACAAAATGGCTGGGATTGCAGTGCTTCTGGGCCATCACAGCATCGAAGGCTTCCTCAATGTCTTCCTCAGACAAATTCGATGGTAGGATGGTAGCCAAATCAAGATATTGCTTCGTTTCACTACACTCATTCAAAGCAGATACAACTGTGAGCTCAATGAGATGTGCACCGAGTGCCACACGCTTTAGGAACAGGAACTGTTCGTTGGGGAACTGTTTGCGAATGTAGGATTTGGCATCGGATATGCCCAGCTTGTTGATGGCTTCGTATTCTAGAAAGCTATTCTGTTTGTAGAACGAGTTGACCCACTCCGCCTGAGTCTTTGCATAAATATGTGGCACATATTGAGCGTTGGCCTGCTTCGATGTCACTTGGCCAGCGGGCAAAATCTCATCTAACAGCGAATGAAAGATTTTCTCCTGCACATTTATCTGCTGCAAGATTACGGACACATTGGTGGGCTTGGTGATGGCTGCTAGGGCGCCGCGTATTTTTGCTTTGCACCGTTGAATGTACGCTTGGGTAAAGAATACACGCGGATTGGTGGCGTCCTGGCGACCCTTGATGGTCTTGCCCAAATGCTTCTCCATCACATTGTGCTGCAGAAACTCCGAGGGCAAATCGAATTGGGATGTTAAGTCCGATATGGAGATTTCGCCACGTTGCGACAGTTTTTCATTGATCTCCTGTGCAATATGAGTTATGTAGTCCTCATCGATTAGCTGTCCTAACATCAGATGGATTCGTGGATTCTCTGCTGCAATGCGTTCCGCCACCGCTTCGATCCGTGATAGATCCACATTGAGAGTTTTGCTGACCTCCACAAGATTTGCTCGACCCCCATTTGCATACAGCTCATCTTGGATTTCGCGTTCAAGGTGTTCGGGTGTTATATACTCCTTTCCGTCATTCGTAAAAACAACATCCAGCAGCTGCTTCTCCAGTAGCAAAGTAACTATTTCAATACAATTCCGCTCCGAGAGTCTGGCCAAAGATGAAAATATACATGACAGCTGTTGAGCTACATACTTTATTAGTTGTTTTGCACTTACTTTTGCAGAGTGGAAGTTAGCTGTGCCTTCTGGAAATCGGCGGCTAAACGTTTTATCTCGTCCCAATCGCTGCTCATTCTAAAATATATATTTTATATATTGTTGCAATTAATCTTATTGAATTGATCCAAATCAGAAATGTGACGCGTCAACAAAAATCTATTCTATCGTTGATTTATCGATAAGTCTATTTATCAGCTGTTTTGCTCTTATACAAATTTTTTAAATATATGTGTTTTTTATTTAAAACTACTTAAAGAAAATTCAATTTTGTAATAATTTTTTAATATATTTAGATTTTGTTTATAATTATTTGATGGACTGTCATAATTTAACGGTTTGTTAATTTGCATGTTTGCAGGCAATCAGCTGGCTAACTTTTGCTATAATTTTGGTATTTTGTGAACGGTTAACATACGGTCACACATCTCAGAAGGATTATTATATTTAAACCAACTTTGGATCGAAGTGTCGGACATAAAAATATGTAAATTGATATGCATGTGTGTATAAAGCAAGCGATGTATTACAAACACTAACCCTGCGAATATGTCGATCTCAAAATTATTCGTGAAAGTTTTCAATGAAGACATATTTGAGAAATTGGATCAGGATAATTACAACTCTGACTTGGAGGATGATTTGGAAGGAGCCAATTGTTCGACCATACCCGATCCGCGATCGCCAAAGCTCGAAGAGCTCTCCGTGACGAAGTGCGTTGCAACAGTTGTCAGTTGCTTAGCGGTCAGGGCAATTCTTATATCATTCGCATCCTTTTCAGGCAGATGACCATTGTGCGCAACTGGCTGGACGACAAATTCCAGCAGATCCAAACGGACAGCAATGAGGAAATACGCAAGCTCTATGTGGAGACAGAGGCGCGCATTGGTCCCGAACTGGCCATATTCGATGTGGACTATACGACAACCGTGCGTGTGTCCACTGATAGGTTGGCCTTACGCTCACAAGGCAGCTTCAATACGGTGCGCGCTAATTGTTGCGTTTATGGCGGCCGTTGGATGTATGAGGTAATCATGTCGCTATTACTGTCCGATAGTTGGGAATGAGTTGCGAGTTTCGACTTACGAGTGGTGGTTGCTTGGCCAACGGTCAATGACACTGAACAGGCGTAAAGAGTTTCGGGAGACTGGGCAATTATCGATAAAAGCGTTATCGACATATTGTAACTGGAGCCTTCTTCCTTCCTCCCTAGATTCAACTACACACCAAGGGTGTCATGCAAATGGGTTGGTGCGGCAGCAGCTGTGGCTTCAATGAGAATAGCGGTGTGGGCGACACAAAGCTCAGCTACGGCTATGACGGCAGCAAACAGCAGGTCTGGCACATCTCTACCAGAAAGTAAGTAGAAGTCTTCTGTTAAGATTAAACACTAAATATCGAATCTTTCTTAGGTACGGCGACAAGTGGCAAATTGGCGACATCATAGGTGTCACCATTGACGTCGATAGGGAGATAATTGAATACTATCGTAACGGGCGATCTATGGGCGTAGCATTTGACAAGATTCAGCGGGGACCTGGAATCACATTCTTCCCTGCCATTTCTCTGGGCTACACACAAGGCGTGCAGGCGAATTTTGGTAACCGACCGTTTGTCTACCCAGTTCCCGGCTTTCAGCCACTGATGGCACGGCCCATTCTAAAGCTCCGTCGTGCCAATTTAATCATGGACTATCTCGTAAATTTGGCCGGTATATTCTCGCACTATAATGCGCAGGCTGACAACAAGGACGAAGTGCCTGGCGAAATTCGTGTGTCAACGAAGAAGACAGTCTACTGCATTTTCGCAACTTTGCTTATTGAACGCTTCACGAATGAAGTATTCGATCCCTACATAATCGAGGATGTCCTGCTGA